CAGACAGTTTAACAAGATTCATATAGTTCTTTATCACTGCAAAAAAGGTCGCCTTTCCTCCATTGTCCAATCACAGGCTCATCAATATATTTTAAAGCTGCATCCAAAGCATATTCTACACCCACATATTTATAATCTGTATTCTATAAAAGACTTCTTCAAGATTTTCCTGTAGACCCCTCAGTTCCTTCTCAGCCCTTACCAGTATTGCCTTTGATGTCCATCATTCTGCCAACAGTCTTTTAAAACACAATCTAGGCTTTTAGAATTAAACCTACTAACTCTATTGCTGCTAAGCTGACCCTAAGCAGAGCGACATTCTGAAGGTTTTTGAGGATGTAACTCTTTTCTAGAGGAAACGTCCCATCTTTTGAACTTCTGAACTCTGCTTAGCAGTCTGTTAAACGTTGCCTCATTGTGGTTTTGATTTGCATCTCTCTTATTGCCCGTGACTTTGGAGCATTTCTTCATGTGTCTGTTTGCTATTTGAATATCTTCCTCTGTGAAAATTCCTTCCAAGTCTTGTGCCCATTTTGTAATTGCGTTATAAGTCTTTTCCTTGTGGAGGCACAGGAGTATTCTATAAACTTTTGCTATAAGACTCTTGTCTGAATTAGCATTACTATTTTTCAAGGAGATTGAAAGGGAAATTATAAAATATATTTAGAGAGACAAGAGACCCCAAATAAGCAAAACACTTCTGAGGAACAAAAATGAGGTTGGAGGCATAGTACTCCCTGACCTCGAAACCTACTGCATAGCAGTGGTAACCAAATGGAACAGAATTGAGAAGCAGAAATAGACCCAGCTATCTATGGTCAACTGATATTCGACAAGGAAATCAAAGCTATCAAATGGGGAAATGATAACCTCTTCAACAAATGGTGCTGAAAAACTGCTACTTGCAGAAAGCTGAAAGAGGATCCAAACTTCACACCATACACAAAAATTAACTCAAGGTGGATTAGAGACCTGGGAGTAAAGTCCAAAACAATAACATTCGTAAGAGACAACCCGGGATCAAGCTTAGAAGTGCTGGATCAAGGCATAAAGAGACTGCCAAATACAACCAGAAATACACAATCTAAAAAGGATAAAATTGATGCATGGGACCTTCTAAAGATTAAATCCCTGTGCACATCAAAATCTTTTTTCAACAGGGTGAAAAGAAAACCTACAGGCTGGGAACAAACATTTGGTGATAATTCTTTCCTATTAATACAACAAAGATAGTTTTCTCAAAAGGGATTATAACCATAGGCATAAACATTTAGGATTTACCACACATTTTCTGAGTAGCATAAATGAATTGATAACTAGTTGATAAAGAAATATTACTACACTCTTAGATCAAGACTTTAAAAAAAAATTAACTGTGTACCCGTTGTTGTGTATCGTTGTCAGAACTGATCCATAGCTGACCTTTTGGTGGGTTTTCTCAGAGGCCGTTAATCACACAGGAAAAGACTGCCCATCCCTTCCCCGCAGAGCAGCTGGTGGCCTGAAATTGCATGCCTTTGGGAATACAGCTCAGCTTCTTGCCACTAGGCTACCAGGGCTCCCTATTAACTAGTATATTTCAGGAAAATTTGAGGGTGTCCATGTGAAAGGTCTGGTTATTTTGTTGTTAGATGCCATTGCATTGAGTATAACTCATAGTGATCCTGTAAATAACAGTTCTGAATCCCCTCCTATACTGTGCCAATCTCATCATCTCTGACACATTTGAGTCCGTTGCTGCAATCACCATGTCAATCAACTTGGTTGAAGGTCGTTCTCTCTGTTGCTATCCCTCTAACTTTCCCAGCATGATGTCTTTCTCCAAGGAATAGCCTCTCTTAGCAACATGCCCGAAGTATGTGAGACAAAGCTTTGCCATCCTTGCCTCCAAGGAAAACTCTGGTTGCAGCTTCTCTAAGACATCTGTTCATTTGGAAGTTTATGGGATATTCAGTGTTGTTACATGCCACCAAGTCATCTGGACTCATAGTGACCCTATGTGCAAGAAACCCTGCCCTATCCTGAGCCAGTCTTACTTTGATACCCCTCTGATACAAATTCTGATACACCTAATTGCATTGCTTCAGTTACTATGTCAATTCACCTTATCTGGAGTCTTATTCTCCTGCACTGTCCCTCTACCCTTGCAAGAATCATGTCCTTCTCCAAGGACTGGTCCCTCCTGGCACATGCCCCAAGTATATAAGACAGACCTTTAAAATCATAGACTCCAAAGAAAAACTTGTTTTCACTCTCTTCAAGACAGATTTTTTTACCCCACTTCTGGTGGTCCGTGGTATGATTAATAACTCTTTTCCAGCACCACAACTCAATGGCAGGGGCCAGTCCTTAGAGAAGGACATATAGCTTGGAAGGGTGGACGGGCAGCACAGGAAAGGAAGACCTTAGATGAAATGGATTGACATAGTAACTGGGGCAATGGGGGTAGGTGTGTTGGAGTCAGTGAAACTGGATCAGGACAGGGCAGGCTTCAGAGTTGTTGTACATAGAGTTGCAATGAGTCACAGGTTATTCAGTGGTGCATAACAGCAACAACAACACAGTCAAATGCCTTTATATAGTCAATGAAGCACAAACAGACATTCCTTTGATATTCTTTACTTTCAGCCATGATCCGTCTCATCTGATATCAGCAATGATAGCCTGGTGCCATAGCCTGCTCTAAATACAGGTGAACTTCTGGGAGTTCTCTATATACTCTTCCAGCCATTTTTGAATGTTCTTTGGCTTGCATATGATGTCAATGATATTGTTCAACAATTGCCACATTCTGTTGGATCATGTTAGGCACTGGAATGTGATACTTTAAAAACAGATAACTTTTGCCTGGTTTCAAACCAGAAGATGCATTGTGGAGGGCACAGATGAAGGTTGACAATGCTTAGGAGACTATCAAGTAAGAAAGGAGGTGAGCCAGATCAGCTACTCATTGCTTGAATCGCACTAGTTCATAACATTAAATCTGAGCTTTAACACAAACTTTCAAAGTTTCCTCCCTCACCACCAGTACCTGAATATAATTTCAAATATTGGTCCCAAATAAATTGAAAGTATGACTAATCATGTTCTAAGAACAAAGATAGATGAGAGAGATCTCAACAAAAATACTAAACAGTTGGTCAAATGATCACTTAAAGAGCTTGGATGCAAACTTACTAACATCATTCCATATTTTTTAATGGGATAATTCTTTGTTGTGTTTTTCCCTCTTACCTAAAAAACATTCAGTATCATTGTTTCTCCCCTTATTAAGTCCCACAAGTATTTTAAAGTCATTGTGACACTCGAAAAGATAACCATAGATTCCCAGTCGTCCTCTGGAGCATCATGCAGTTCTCAGTTGAGAACCATTGATCCAGTTCAAACTATGTATCCATTGTATATAGGAAGAAGCTGAGGGGATATTTTTCTATAAAAACAAGTGGAAAATAGTCCTGAGAGCCCACATGTTCTCTGATGTCTACTCTCGAGTATTGCATTTATAATTTCTTATGAACCTCAATGCAATGTGTAACTGAGGCAGGCCTTAACTTAGAATTTTACATGACATAGGTGGTAGTTAAGGGGAATGGTATTTGATAATGCATGATATTCTCCTCATCCTTCTATTTCTTGTTAGAGTATCCAAACCAGGTCTATTGCTACTTCTTTGTGGTAGACCAAAGTTGACCTTGGCTGACAAGGGGAGACAAAGGAGAAGAATGAGAAAACATACATTGTACAGCTTGGCATTATATAGGAAAGGGCATTTGGGATATTTGAAAACACCAAAGGTCTTAGAAAAGTCATTTTATCCTTACCATTTCTTTGGTTTCCACAATTCCCTGGCTACCTGAACTGCTGCAGAAACCAGAAGAGCGTGAGGCTTTCCAGACTGTATTGTGAGTGGTGAAATAAGTGGAAAGAAATAAGAAGAAACTTCTATATTCCCCATGGTGTGAGATCCTAGATTTACTCACTTCTGTATACTATGACAAATGGTTATTAAGAACTGCATTCTTTTAAGAAAAAGGTAGCATTGATAACATTTCCTCCCCCTACGCCTCCTATTTACACAAATTATTACGAGGTCTGGTGTAGTGAATTGTGGTTGGACTGCTAACCAAAGGTTGGTAATTTGAATCTTTCAGCCCTGCATAGTTTCTTCCTTCCAGGGAAACCTGATGGTGGGTTGCCATGAGTTGGAATGATTCAACAGCAGTGGTTTGAATGTGGATTTGACTTTCTTCAGTTCTCCAAGGAAAAAAGCATAATTTTACAATGAAATATGAAATAGTATGTGTTTATTAAGACCCTTCTAGGATCTTATTTGTTTCAGAACAAGCAGGTCAGTTTCACCCATCATTCATTAGTTTTATGATCTAAGTGGCATGAGAAACACATGCATAAATTCCTTTAAAATGAAATTTGTCTCATGTCTTGTCTTTAACTTGTTTCTCCCTGCATTCTAAAAACCCTAGTTTTTCCCCCTCAGCTTCTCCTGTCACACCCATGCTGACTGGGAACTACCACCTTAAACACAAATGAACTTCAACATGAATGTCAAAGTAGCCTTAAGAACCTGTTTCACCTATCACACTGGCATCACAAGCACTGCCAGTGACCAGAAGAATGAGTCAATAGAAACCAAACATTTCTCATTGCCCCATACGTTGTTTTTGGTGGTGCCTTTGAGTCACCTGCAATTCGTAGTGACCTTACCTACAACAGCCCTAAACCCTGCTCTATCCTTGCCAATCTAATTGTCTCTGACATCCCCAGTGCCCCAGTCACTGAATCATTATACAACCATAAAGATTCATAGGTGTCTAGTCAGAACTGATTCATAGCTGACCTCCTATAGATTTTCTGAAGCTGCAAATTGAATGAGAAGAGATTGCTTATCTTTCTCCTGTGGATTCAAATGTCCAGAGAGGTGAGGCCTTTGGGTTGATGGGCAACCCACTAAGGACTAGACAGGAAATATTTCATTTACTCACCTCAAACTGAAGAGAAAATTTGTAGTCAGAATCTTTGGCCATATCCTTGATGTAGGCATCAAAGTCATCCAGTTGAACGGGGCTTTTCAAACACAAAAAAAGATGCATGTTTAAAAAAAAACCCAAATCTATTGATATGTATTGTATGATCTTTAAAATGCTTCTCAATCATTAACTTTCTTGGAGAAAATAGAAAGTCTAAATCTCAAAGGTTAGCACTCACCTTTTTTTCTTGCTTCAAATCCCTAATAATGGAATTGAAAAGAAGAGCTTATATACCAACGAATCTTGAGATGGGAGAACTCTGGATTTTCAATTGGCTCTTACTCTTGGATCCGTATGAGCAAAGACCTACACTCATATATATGTACATGCATATGTGCTGTTTTTCTAAAACTGGCATATGAGAAGGAAATGAAGCAAGACCTGTTTGAGTTGTGGTTCATTTTTTTGTATGATTTTGGAGAATTTGCTTAAGTCTTCTGAGACTCAATGTTTCCATCTGCAAAACACTATATTTATCCCTACTTCACAATGTTGAGATAAAACATCTTGCAAATTTAAATAATTTTACAAGTATAAAGGTTTCCTAACAGCTATAGTATCTCTCCAGAGTAGTGGCAGGCCAGTAAGATACTGTTTTTTGTCAAAAAAGCTTCCATAGAGCCACATTTAGGGACTAAATTCTTGAGTCTACTGTGGAGTATGACACACATTCAAAGTGGAGAGGTCAGCTTCCATCTTTTAGTGTGATGCCATTGTTTCCTTCTGCCAATCAAGATATTTGGTAGCTAAACAGCTCAAATGCTGCCCTTGTTTTCTGAGACCAAGTTTAAGTCTCCAGCAGGTTGTCTATTCACAATTTTCCCCCCTGTTTTGGTACACCACATTTTAAATTTTAGAAATTTTGGTCTATCCTAGTATGCCTACATTTTATATTTTGCAAATTTGAGTCTATTCAAGTTTTGCTTCGTTGACTGGATTGTACCAGGAAGGACTGGGTTGAAACACTGGGGGAAAGTGAGGGTGAAGGATACGAGCAAGTGAGTGAAGAGAGGTGTAACTAGAAAACAGGGGGCAATGGAACATGATGGTGAAAAGAATTTGCAGGGTAAACAAGGAAAAGCGAAACACATGTAAATAAAAAGATAACAGGAAAAAACCAATAAATTAATTTTTTTGAGAAAGAGAGATAATGGAAAGGAAAATACAAAGAGGAAGAGTGGAGGTAGCTAGAAGGTTGATATGCAGCATTTGGTTTGAGGACCAATCCGAACCCTGCCAGGTTCTCCCACAACTTTTGCTCAGGCCTCACTTCTCACTGCTTGATTCTTGAGTAGACAGAAGTCTAAAAGAGTCTATTTTTCCTAAAATCCTGTCTTCTGAATACTAGTCTTTGCCTTTAGCTCATTTAATAACTCAACTGACAACACTGGGCAACGAAATCTTTCTGTTCCTATCAAGTCTTTCTGTGAGGGTGACAGGATCTCTCCTCCATTCAGGCTGGCTTTGTGTCTGCTTCCTGTCTCTACATCAGTTGGTGCATGCATGTCAATGGAGTGCATTGAGATTTGAAAATAGATTTATGAAAAACTTAATTATACATGTCATAAAATTATATGCCACCGAAGGCTAAACATAAGTAGAGTTTGCGTCAATTTTTCTTTTGCAGTATGCATACCATGTTTCTCCCCCTCCTCCCACCATTAGCATGGATGCCACAGACCTGGCTAGAGCCCTTAATTGCTTCCTTGCATTAATTCACTGACATTCTATCATAAGTAAATACATATCAAGAGTGAACTCTATTTATATGGATGCTCTGCTCTTTTCAAGCAGAGTTTTAACTAAAAAAAGGGCTGGAGGTGATAAACTAATGAGGCTTTTGAAATCAACTGATGGTTAATTTTCACCTGCCAGAACTATAATTCTTATGATTTAACAGTTTAGTAGATAGCAAAACCATAGGCTAGCTAATTATCTTCTTTTTCTATTTTTTAAAAAAGGTTCCCAAGATAGCATTTTTAATAGTATTTATTATAATATCAAGTGAAAGAAAAGCTCTCCCTGCAATCCAAAATACGGCATTACAAAGTAAAAATGGCAAAGGTTTGGGGACTACTCTTTTTTTTTTTTGGGGGGGGGGACTACTCTTGGTGGAAGATTTTATAGATTTTGAAATCCCCTTTGCTAGGCTATTACAATCTTTAACAACTATTGTGTCTTCTATTTCATCCTTTGAGAATTTTTGTTTCTGTGATAGATAGCCATTCTTATTCTTAACTTGCATTGCATTTAACTAATGTAATACATGTGCCCAAAGCATTACTTCTATTTAAAGAGAGTAACCTTTTCAATTTAGAAAGTTAAGAGAATTATGAAGAAGAATTTTATAAAAAGTGAACTAGCAAGTGAAACTTACTTAGTCATTTTCCTCTTCTTTAAGCCATTTTTACTCCTGAGAATGAAAAGAAAAAGCAAGGGGGAGGGGGAGAAGATCCATTTTACTGGTAAAAATTGATTAACATAGTGATTAAACTTAAAGAGCTTTAAATAGTTACAGCAGGCACCTCAATTTTATTTAATCTTCATTGACTATACCTTAAGTTTGTTTAATTACTTTTCCTTAAATGAGAAGGTAATGATAATAATTTCAGATTCATCTTTACATTTCTACTAGATTGCACTTTATATTTTCATATATGTGAGAAAATAAACTCAATTCTAGAGATGGAAATTCTTGCTACAGGTATTTTTGAAATACACAGAAGTATCTATTGCCTAAATATTGCAGATTCTATAGACAGAAACGAAAGAAGTTGGAGAACTAAAAAAAAAGGCATGGGTACAGGGTGGATATATTCTTAATTAAAAACTAAAATAGTCTTTCCTGGTAGTTTGGCTGATGATATGAATTTGTGCTATCAGTGTTATAAAACCTTACAGAATTTTTGCCAGGAAATTGTTCCCACCTAGGTTTGTGATACTAAACACTGTGACACTGATGTATCAAATGTGATAATGATTACCCATGGTGGACAGTTTGGTGGCGCTCTCCAATTAAAACAAGCTTGGAAGCAGGAGTGGCTTCCACTTCCAAAATAGCTTACCTCCAGAAACCCTATGAACATGGAGAAATGATGAAAAGTTATACAAGTGTTCAAGTATTTCGTTTCATAGGTCGCTATGAGTCATCTATGACACGATGGCACTTAACAACAACAACAACAGATTTAGACTAATTTTTAAGCTATCTGATTAACTAACTACTTAATTGGACCTGTTGTTGTTATGTGCCATCGAGTCGTTTGCGACTCATATGACCTGCTTAGTGAATGAATTAAGAAATTCATTACTAGTCTAAAAAAAAAACCCAAAAAACAAAAACAAAAACAAAAACAAAATTTCATTACTAGTCTATAAATTCAACAGTAATAATAATACTAATACATACTCTGGTACTTATATTTGTTTGGGGGAGTTAATAATTCTTTTAAATAATAAAAAAGAAAATTTGCTTTTATGTTGTTATTATAAATAAATAATTGGTATTTAGGGTAATCTTTTCAACCAGTAAGAACTTCTAGAACACATGTGTATATATATTGTCTAAAATGAATTATAAATATTGAAACCAAATTGAGTTTGAGTGATGGGATAGCAAACACTATAAGTAATTTTAATTATCTTTTAATGGGAGCACCCAATCAATCAGGATCTCAGAAGGCAAAATACTTCTATTTAAATGATGAATGTTTAGATACCTACACTGCCTGAAAACCTTGGGCAGAATGACACAATTGCTGCTTCTACAAATTTCAGAGAACTTTGCTAAGTGTTTCTCACCTGAGATTATTGTTAGTGTCATATATGTTCCTTGCAAGATCATGCTCCCTCACTATCCTGCAAGGTTGAGCATAGGCAATGGTACACATAGAGAAGATGGTCAGTAGAGGCTTGTAGAATTGAATAGAAACAAAATACTCTCCTTACTGCACTCAATGAAGAATTTGATACTAGATTGTGATACTTGTGCTGAGGAGTTAGAACCGACCCATGATTGACCCTCCAGAAACTTTTCAGGGGGGCAGTAAACCTCATGGGAGGAGATTTTTCATCCCTCTTCCTGGAGTAGTTGGTGAATTTGAATTTCTGCCTTTAGGATTGCAGTGCAGGTTTTTACCTCAAGGCCAAAAAATCACTCAGAGTATGATAATAAGTAGGGCTAATATTTCCCCTGGTTGAGGAATGAGTGGACATTCATGAATGTCACATTCCTGAATGGAAAGGACGTGATACAAGGCAAGAGGTATAGGAAATATCTTAAAAGGCAAGTGTATTTTATGGGTTTCAGGATTTTGTTTTGTTTTGTTTTTAATTTCTTCTTACTTCTGAGTGAAGACAAGCTATTTAACACATAGTACCCCCTTCTCTCTTTTTCTTTCTCACTCTTTGTTCGCCACATTTAGGATTGAGAGTCCACTTTTTACCTGGTTCTCGCTCATCCGCTCCCCAAACCAAAGAAAAACCCCTAATGTTGATCATAGTTCTATCACACAGACATTGGGAACCGAAATAAATCCCTATCTTCATTTTTAACTAAATCTTGGGAAGTGGACCTGGTTAAATTGAGGAATTTTGCATTTCATTCTCTAAGTCACATTTTAAAGCACTCTTCTGAAAGGAGAATGTCAGCATAAGTACCTCACAGCTCTGGTAACGTCAGGTGACTGCTGACATACTTTGTGACAGTGAAATAAAAACTTAATAAAATATTTTAAAAATCCCACAAACTACCAACCATAAATACCCAACCAACAACAACAACAACAAAAATTATCTACTTTCCAGACCTTGAGAGAAACTGGGATGAGACACATGCCTGGGCAATGGTGACACTGAATAAATTCAGTGCTGAAATATTAAGTTGCTACTATTCAACAGCTCCAAGAAAACAAATTCTTGGAGGACAGACATCCCCTCTCCACACCCCGCTTTTCATCTCATTCATTGATTAAACGAACTTTAAATGCAATATAACATCCTGCCCCATGTTTTGCATGGTATTGTCATACACTTATTGGCATACGTGTATCTCTTTATGATTTGTGTACATCCTACATGGTACTATATAGATGTTGCTGACTTCTTCAGGATCCTAGGAGATTTTTTTTTAATACCCCACCTATTCAATTATTGTGCTAACTGTAAGACCAAAGTGAAAAAGACAACAATAAAAAACCAAACCAAAAAACACAAACACCTGATAATAAATAAGTTAATGCATAACTAGCCGTTTTAACTATAGCACATTGTAGAAAGATTCAGTATGTATACATGTTAGGGTGAAAATTTACACGACACTTAGGGCATCACTTTTCATTGCAAACATTTTCCTGAATAATGGGCAAATAACGTTCAGCAGACAAACAGCATATGCGCATATGTGATCATGCATTTCTTTTCATCTTTTTCTTCCTCCAATATTAAATAAGATTAAAAGCTAAATGACTAAGAAGATACATTCTCATAATAAGTCCTTCATGGCTGTGAAAACCCTTGGCAAGCCAGTCAGACTGGATTTCATGCCAAAGAAGACTATGAGGCAATGGCAGAGAAATGAAGGTTATTGTGGTTTAAAACATATTTAAAAAATGAAAAGCCCCTCCAATTACACAAATGCTACTTACTCTCATAGGCTAAATGGAAGCCATCCCCAAATTTCATCACAATCATTTTTACATCACTCTTTAAATAAAGCATGCAATAATAATGAATAAAGCTGAGCATGTGAAACTAAATGTTACTTCATGCTTGATATATTGACGACTGAGGAATTTAGAACAGGCAGATGGACACTTGCATGAAGCACAGGAGTGACTACGGTAGTAAAAGGAGAGACTAAAAAGATGAAATCTAGTTAGATCTAGTTCAAATTTGGTTGCTTTCAAAAGAAACACAATCTAAGATCATTAAAGGCAGACATCCTTGCAGAATGCAATCCTGAGAGAAACCTAACTGGGCACTGGTGCTCCACACTGATCCTGCCACCCCACGAAAAGACTCGGGTGACGCTAAGGAAAAGAGAGAAAGTCTCTTGATTTCCATGCGAAACATTAGAAGCAACAAGAGGGTGTTAGAAATCAGTGGGAACAAATCTTGGCAGGAAGACAGCTTAGAGAGGAAGTGGACAGCGTGTTAGGAAGGGGTGTGGGGGCTCTTTTTATTCACTTAACAGGCTGGGTGGATTAGAAAAGTGAGCACATCTAAAGGAGGATTGAAATAGACCAGAGAATGGAAGCTAGGGAAATATCAGATGTTACTAGTTAAAGAGAAAGCAATAAACAGCAGGAAATTTGAGTGGCTGTGTGAATACTGAATTGCATTGTCATTGGCTCACTTTGAGTCACTCTCAACTCATGATTTTCTCCACATACAATGGAAGGAGACACCTCCTATCCCAATGGAGGGCTGACTTTGTGATTCACAAGGCTTTCACTAGCAGGGTTTTGAAAGTCCCTTGTCAAGCCTTTCTATTTATTCCATCATGGTGTAGAAGCCTCGTGGAAACTTGTTCTGCGTCATAGCAGCTCACAAACCTCCACTGCCAGGTAACTGCTGTAAATGAGGTGCATTAGAAAGTGAATGTAACTGGCATTTCCCACATGAAAGGAGCAATTTCTACTATTGAAATTATCAATGTGTAGCACTTGAAAGGGCAACTGAAAACTCATTGCCATGAAGTTGGAAACAACTCATAACTGTAGCGCGTTTTCAGAAGCTGTAAATCACACAGAAGGTGATTGTTCATCTTTCTCCCATGGAGAAGCTGGTGGATTACATTGCTTGCCACTGGGATGGCAGCACAATTCTTTATCCAATAAACCACTAGAGCTCCCTAAGGACCATTAATTTTGTGTCTTTTAAAAATCTGCCAAAGCTCTAGCCTAGCGTTGAGAACATAGTTTAAGTCCAATGTATTTTCATAACTGAAATCTGAAAAGTTTAGTGTCTTCTCATCTCATCCACAATTAAGTTAAGAGATAGTCCTTATATGAATTAGAAACTGCTGAATCATCTCCCCTAACTTGGAGTCTCAGGCTATTAGATTGGTACTGAAAATGGAAGCCCATGTATGAAAAGGTTTTTGAAGTGGGAAACTGGTTATTAGAGAGCCCCTTAGCAAAGAAATGCAAATATTCAGAGGTCCACCCAACCACAGAAAGTAAGAATGTTTGACAGAATTAAGAAAATGAATATAATATACTCTCTATTGTTGTAATTACAAACTGTGGCAGACAATATTAAGGATATATTAAGGATATTTTGGTAAAAATATTCTGATAGGTAGAATATTTGGTAGATAATATTGTGTTAAAGGTAAATGTGTATTTTAAAGGTTAAAATGTAATTTATGTGAGCTACTTCTAACTGAAAGCTATCTGATACCTGATCCTAAAAATACTGTAGATGAAGTTCTATACTGTTTAAAAAACAAAACTACCAAAACAGTGACTAGATTCCCGGTGGTCATCCAGTAGAGTTCTCTGACTTTATGTATTATATGTTTATCCAGCCTAAAATTTTTTCCTCTAGTACCCACTTTTTTCTTTTAAAATAAAAGTTCTGGTATTTATAATCTCTATTACAAAGAAGTCCTTCCCCCCTCCACCTCCCGTATATATTCTTTCCAAATGAAATTTGAAGTCCTAACTTTGCCAGTTGAATTTATTCTGTCCTCAGAGGAGCTAAAGAACATTCATCAATTGTCTTTTTGCATAGATAAGGCTCTGATTTGCTTTTCATCATTTCTCTTCTCTGGAGGTTATATTTCCTTACATTTAGTACTTAAAGATTATGGATTAATGTTTAAAGACCATGATTTCTTTGCAAGTTCTCAGGGAACCTGTAGGTTTTTTTGTTTTGTTTTTTGAATCCCCACCACCACCACCCCCCCCTTTCCCTGAGGCTCAGGAAAAGAAAACAGTCCTTCAAAATGCAGGGTTGTGGAGAAAATGGAATCAGATGATTATGCAAAGAGCTGTACCCATAGTTAAGTTGTTTAATATTCACTATGTTTGCTCTATTACAAAAACAGTAACATAGAGTATTATTCTCTGGCTAATATTCTACCTTAATACAAATCTGCCTTTTTTTGGAAATAAGAGTTCTCTAAATGAGGAAGAGAGAAGAAAAAGGGAAAGTATCATTAGTAAAGATGGAGACCAATGGATGGACTCAATCAGGAAACAGATGATTGGAGATAAGCGAAAGAAAATTTGACAAGAACATCTAAGAATAGTGACAAATCATTATTGTTAGCATGTTGGTACCATCAACTACTTTAAACCCTCTAATATATGATAACTTTTGGTGCTGCTAAATAAAAGAGTAAAAATAAAAGAGACAATATCCTTCTTAAAAAAAATTACTAAAAGCTAACTTTTAAAGCTTGTATGTTAGGTAAACAGTTTTAAAAAAAAAAAAAACACTTACCAAGGATTAATATAAAATGCCAAAAGATAGTCAGTCCAAAGACATGAGGGTAGCAGGGTTAAGAAAGCAAATATACTCCTACGCCTGTGAGCATTAATAGATAACAGATGGAAAGATGAAGAAGTGGTAAGAGTTAGTAATACAAACTGTGAACAGATATCAGTAAATCATCTACGAGGATCAATTAAAATGACAAGTATCTTAATTATAATTAAATATTATTCCATATTGTGAAATTAAAACGTGAGGGCTTAAGTGCTGTAATATTGATAAAATCAGTTGTATTCACACATGACCATATTGTAATCAGATATATTTCTTTCAACTTACTTGGCATTAATTAGTTTGCTATTAGGTGATTACATTTTGTATTCAGTTAAATGAGATTCTTAAATGCCTCATTAGGTAGCTTGATTTTTACTCTTCATTATTCCCCTTCCAATCTTCCACCCTATCTTAAAAAATCTTTATAGAAATACTTAGTAGCCGAAAAGCAGCTTCTGTGAGGAAATATATGGTCAGTTTGTATACACTGACTAGTGTTTATGGTAAAGATTTGAATTAGCATTGCTCTGGGCCTTAAAACGTCAGTCTTATAAAGCTGCATTACTAGGTATGGCTTTCTACATTAGTTTTAGTTTTAATGAAAACATCGTATCTAAGCATAATTCTTAAAAGTAATGATATATGATACTCAGGTGTCATTCATTCAAAATAACTAGCTTGTCAACTGCCTACTCTGTATTCCAACTGATCCTCAATTGACTAGAAGCAAAATTTGGTTTCACTCTAATTTTAATTCAGACTCACTTTAATTCTACTTCAGACTGTTGATTTAAAATGCCTGGCTTAAATCCAATTTCAGATTTTTCGAAGCCACTTGCAAAAAAGAGCATTTATTAATGGAGATTTAAAAATAACCAGTAGCTGCATCTATAATTATTCTGAAAATTAGGAAAAAATGCTGTCACCTTGTCATTTTAGCTATAACAAATCCCTACTGAGCTATCTCAGCCAGAAAAATGCTAACACTGGTAAAAATATCTTTGCCAAGAACTGCAGGAGAATATGCTGAATTTATTGAGAAGTCCTAAAATGAATTCTCTCTTGCCTCAGTTCCCCTGTAATTGATTGATCTGGAAGTCAATTTTTTAAGGTGTGACTGGTTGTGGAGTCTAATATATGCCTGTGAGAAGTCACAAGTGATTGGATTGGTTTCTAAATAGACCACTCACTGCTGCTGTCTATCCAGTCTCTTCTTAAGGCCGGGACTAGACAAGAAATGTCTCTTTTGATAGTAAGTCCATATACTAACCTGGGAAAAAGAGTGCTAATTATTTTGACATATATAGTAATGTTTCATAACTTCTTGTTATCAGGATATGGTGAATTTTTCTATAGTCACAGTTGGACAGTTTTATAAGAAAGTTTCAATTTTAAAATCTGATATTGGTGCAAAATGATACTCAGGTAAAATTTTTAAAATAGGCTACCATCCCATCTTGTTTAGAAAAATTTACTTCAATTAGAGCCCATTCAGAGAAGTACTTTGCATAATGCTCCATATGCCCTGTTTATTCTGTGGAATAAAATTTCCCATTTCATACATCTGTTTTTAAAGATTGGCTATTTTTTGGCAGATTAGAAAGGAAAAAAATTACTTAGTGAAGCTATTTATTCAGGGGCAGATTAACCAATAAACAATTTCACATAAAGGATGTGATGAAAAGCACATAAAACTATTCGATATAGATTGGTTAATTAAGCACAAACAAATTGGTTTACCGGAGTTACTTTTTCAGGATTGTGAATTTGAAAAGAGGTTTTGATTCTGTAAGAAGGTGCTTTGAGGTTGGTCAAGAGACAGATGTGGGCCATGCCTAGAAGCAGACTCTTTGATGTGGTGAAAAATGTGAAATTACTCACTGTGGAGTTGTAAATAAGCACATATAAGCCCGTGATTACATTGTTTATCGGGTAATCCAACACTGCATATATTTAAATAGACTTTATGTGGTTTCTTATAGAAGACATAGGCTAGATAATGTAAGTAAACTTTTAATATTAAATACTTAATATACTTAGTACCTTTGTTGCATATTGACTTAAATTTAGATGTCTAATGCTCATGGGCCTTTGTTAGAGGCAGTGCCAATTAATTTAATCTCTTGACATTGCTATCTTCATTCTCAAAATTCCTCCTTTCACCACATTCTTAACACTCAAACAAAAAATGGAAAAAGGAAGCCATATTTCCTCACAGGAGTTTTGTGAATTGAAAACGTATTACTGTCAGTATAACAGGACACTTATACTGCTTTATATACATCTACTTAATTTTTAATAGTCTTTCTTTGTTGGTGGACTATGGAGTAAGAACTGACTCATGACTAAACTTCTAGCAGGTTTCCAGAGGCAGCAAATTGCACGGGAGGAGATGTCCCAACTTCCTCTCACTGTGGAGCTGGTGGATTTTAACTGTGTACCTTTGCTACTCTTGGAGGCAAGGATTCTGGGGCTTCGTCTGACATACTTTGGGCATGTTGCAAGGAGGGACAGGTCCTTGGAGAGGGACATCATGCTTGGGAGGGTGGAGGGTCGGCGCAAGAGGGGAAGACCCTCTATGAAATGGATTGATTCAGTGACTGGGGTAATCGGGATGGGTGTGTCAGAGGCAGTGCGATTGGCACAGGATAGAGCAGGGTTTAGGGCTGTTGTACATAGGGTTGCTATGAGTCTCAAACGACTCGAAGGCACATAACAACAACAACAACCACCTTTGGGACCAGTCCTTGGAGAAGGACATCTTGCTTGGGAGGGTGGAAGGACAGCGCAGGAGAGAAAGACCCTCGATGAGAGGAATTGACTCAGTAACTGGGGTCATAGGGGTAGATGTGTCAGGCAGTAAAGGTTGGTACAGGATAGAGCAGGGTTTAGGGCTGTTGTACATATGGTCGCTATGAGCCGCAGGTGACTCGACAGCGCATAACAACAACAATAATAATAACAACCACCACTACCACCACTTTTGAATTGGCAGTACAACTCCTTACCGTTAAGCCACCAGAGCTCTCTTTTAAAAATAATAGTAATTTCTTAAGTCTTCAAGTACTGGGATGAGTTTAAATAGCAATATTCCACCATCTTATGCTGCTTCAGTAGTTTATCCTATTTACTTACTGTTCAGTGTGGCTTCTGCATTTTATTCCTTCACTATGTTGCTTTTACATGCTGTTGAGTCAGCTGCAACTCATAGCAGCCCTATCAACAGTGACTCTGAACCTTGACTTATTCTGAGCCAACCCCACCATTTTAGTCACGCTTGATTTCATTGTTAATCCATCTCGTCCTGGGACTTCCTCTCTTGTGCTGACCACACCTTCCTTCACTATAGTTATTGGCTATTTGGACTGGTGCTTTAGTCTTTTGTTTAATATAAAAAATACAGGGCAGGATGTATTTATTTGCCTCTAAACTGTTTTAAATATTGCAAACAATTATATGGTGTAAAGAAGATACAAGCTTTAAAAGTCCATTGTCAAAAGGAACCAGACACAGCAATTTATTGCCCAAAGATAGAGTTCATACAATACACTGAAGCTATTTTGAAGTTTGTTTCAAAACATTACTCACCAATTGTACGGAAGCTTTCCATCCCTCTCTAAGGATGCAAAATTGACAAATGTCCCAGCTCCACATTCCCTGTTGGAATAAATGGCAAAGTCAAGGGGACTATTTGACAGATCACTCTATTACCGTGACATTTAGCAAAATTATTACCGGCTTATCACTGCATAAAATTATAATATAAGTGTACTGCAAAAAAATAAAATGAGCTGTTACACATTTCATAATAAATAGCCAGTTCAAGAAAGAGAAAAAGAAAACTTATTTTAGAAAGTTGTGCATATTTAAATCAAGTTATTTCAAGTCAAGTAGGATTTAGTCACAGTTCTTTCCAAAGAGACTTCATGATCCTGAAACAAATATTTGAATTAGTTTGTGTATAATACTGTTGTTTACAGTGTTTTCCATAGTAATGTACATGGACTCTTTTTTGACAAAATGAAGGTTTTCCTTTAAAATAAATATTCTTTGTGAGATTTTTGTTTTATAGTACTTTGACTTCCAATCTATAGTGATGCTGGATCGAGTTGGACTGTCTTCCCTCTAAAATATTTTTATTTTTTTATGCCCTGTATTATTAATCTGAGAGATCTTGTGGCTTGGTGGTAAGAAGCTGTGCTGCAATCCCAAAGGCACACGTTTTGAATCTATCAGTTGCTCTGAGGGAGAAAGATAGGCATTCTCTTCCCATGAAGTTTACAGCTTCTGAAAACCTGCTATAGGGTCATTTCTGATTGGACAACACACAACAACATCATAATTATTATTATTATTATTATTAAACTTGACATAGGAGTATAAAGAATTATGTGTTCAAATAGGTTCATTGTAATACCTTTTACCTAAAAAATTGCTTATTAATATATTTCACAATACTGTAAAAGGCTTTCTGCCCCAAAAGTAGAAGCCAAAGATAAACATAGTCTCACATCATCTCGAATTTTTGCTTAGTATCATGGATCAATTATATGTGAAAGTCATGTTTTGATCTTTTTTCATGATAGGAAATTAATGGCTTTAATTTAAAATTGAAGCAGAATTTAGATATCATTGGTACAAAGTACTAGCTGCTTCAGTTTTTCTTTATTAGGTTGCACCATGAATTACTTTCTTCTTTTGATAATATGCTAAAAGTATTGTGTCATAAATTACCAGTCAATTAATTTTTCTATGTTTCCTATTGAGTTGATTTTACACGCTACTCATCAATATTACTATTCCTATTACTGCTATGAGCTCAACACATGTTATTATGTTCCAGTTTTGCTCCTGACTGTGCACTAACATAGGAACTATTCTCAATGCTCCTACACACATTCTTTCCCTGACATTAAGGCTACCATGTTCTTTCTCGTTTTTCCTTCCACTCCAATGAGATGCTTTTTCTCAGTTTCTTTGGCTATTCTTTTCACTACTCTTCATGATGAATTGTTGCAGGGATTTATTAATTGAAGGCACTCTTCTCTTACTTACATTAACTAATATAGCCTGCAGCTTTATATTTATATACTAGCAACTCCCAGTTGTATATATTCAACCTGGGATTTTCTCTTGCACATCTAAGTCATCTGAAATTTTACATCTCCAAAACTGATGTGTTGGAAATGATCTTACTTGTCAGCTCCATCTTTTCAGCTCCTAGGGTCAAGAATCTTAGAGCCATTCCTTTATTGATTTTCTTTAACCAATCTTTTATAAATTTACATTCTATATTAGAAAATTTTGTGACCTCTACTTTCAAAACATATGCACACTCTAGTTTTCACAACTTCTATTGGTACCACTCTAGAATGGATCTCAATTATTTCTTGCTTAGGTTTCTATAGTCCTCCAGTTGGTATGTGCTGATTTTGAATGCCTCAATAAGATATGTTCTCTATACAGAATAAACATGAAAGTGTTGAAATGTAAGGCAGGTCATGCTAGTCTTCTGCCTCAAAAGTGGCCCATTTTACCATAGTAAAAACCCAATTACCTCTAAGAGCTTATAAAATTATGTTCTAAGCATCTGGAAAATTCGAACATCAGGTGCTCAATTAATATTTTTTTTGCTCAATTAATATTTAATGAATGAAGGGCATGAAGGTGAACTGTGTAAGGCCATTTAGGTGACTGTGAAGTTGTCAGTTAGGATTCAACACCAAAGAATCAGATTTCTGAACCCCACCCTCTAAACACAGTACAATGTATCACCTCTCTAGTCATCTAAGGTTTATTCAAATGTCAACCTCCACAAAGCTTGACTTGCATATTAAGGACTAATCTCTCTTCTCAACTTTCATGACTTCCCTTTTTTTAAAAAAAATCTCCTTTATAAGTCAGGTTTTACTTTTAAAATACTTTAAAAAAAATAAGTTCATAAAGGTTTGGTTGGCTATATGTTCCTTGAGTAGGACATGTATTCAAAGAAAACTAAAGGTGCTGAATGCCTGTGCCATAGGTTAAAGACCCACAACATAATGATTAAATTGCTACTGCATGGATTAATTGACGTGTAAATATATGAATGACAGAGCTCTTAAAAAAGAAGGATGCTGATTGGCAATTTGGCAGGCTTACATTAGCAAAATAAATTTGAACCAAATACTAGATAATAACTAAACAACTGTTTACTAAGGGAACTGATGGATTGTTTTGATAACAAAGGAGACCATGCAAAATTCTTCAGAATGTATTCGGAAGTGCAATGCATCAGTGGTTGAAAGAAATAGGGAATCACAGAAGTCATAAACCAAAAGTGTCTGTATTAGTAAGAAAATTGAAACTGCCACTTTGAGGAACAGGAACACAATTATAAAGGATCTACAATGGTAGTAAATGTCATTATTAAATAGTTTTAAAAGATCTGTAGCAACTTTATATGATATTGTTTTCACAGATCTCCTACACAATTTGCCACCTCTAAAAACCCACTGGAGGGTCCGTTGTGTGTTGGTTCTGACTCAGTGGCACATAACAGTGAGGAGAAGAATTCCCCCCTCCATTTTTCCTTGTGGGATCCATTTTTATTAATCTTTTCATAACCATGATGAATGTGCACAGATCTTTCTCTTACTCGAAAATATGCTGAAAGTACCCACTTAAAGTGAGAGATTATGAGTTTTTTATAAGAAGCAAACAGTCCTCTGCTTTACCATTCTAGAGGCAATGCTTTTTTAATGCAATATTTACATTTCTCCATAAGCCAAATGCACTGCCATCAAGTCAATTCCAACTCATAGCACCTCTCCCTTGGGTTTCTAAGGCTCTAAACTTTTACCTGAGGCCATAGTTCTCTTCTGGAGTGGCTGGTAGATTCAAACCACAGTTGTTTCAATTAGCCTGATCTGATAAACACTAAACGGTAAGTTGAGTTTACTGCTAGTCAAGATAGTTTTGCAACAAGCCATTCATGAATGAAAGTTTAATATTTTAAAGCTGTGGAAAGATGATTAAGAAAACATAACTTACCTGGCCATCTGTAGATGTTTCTTCCTAAGAATGACAAGGGTCACCAGCAGCAGTCCAATTAAAAGTGTGCTAAGGATGGCCAGCACTGAGATTACTACCACATTGGGATTCACCTCTGTAACTACAAAGAGAAGTCACGGATTCTCATTAGGAAACTAACAGAAACATCTGATCTTAAGCACAATGAATCAATCTATGGTCGTAATGATGACAACAGCAGCACCAGTATGTATTCAAGTCACCATAACCACTTCCTAGTACACCAGAACTTTTTGTTCTTTTGCCTCATAATTTTTCCCCATCATCTAACCCTTTCAATTTATAGCTAAATAGAGAGAAAAATATGGGGGTGGTGTACTATTTTTAAACAATAATGTCTATCATCAATTTGTATATACTTTGAAAAAGATTTTATTTAATTACTTATTGTTTTCTCCTTTCCCTCATTTTTTCTCTCCCTTAACCCTCCAAGATTCATTCTTTGTGTGTGTAAACTCTTTCTTGGTACTTTATATTACTGGTCTTATACCATAGTTGTTCTTCTGTGCCTAACTTAGGAAGCTCTGGTGGCCTAGTGGGTAAGGAGTTGCCCTGACAGTTCAAAGGAAGGTGGTTCAAATCTACTAGGTACTCTACAGCAGAAAGATGAGCAATCTCTTATGTGATTTCAGCCTCTGAAAATATGCTGGATGATCACCTATGAGTCGATTTCAACTTGATGGTAATAAGTTACGTTACTCAGCATAATTTATTCTAATTTCATACATGTTGTAGAGTATTTTATTAATTCTTGGTCATAAATTTTTAGTGATGCATAGCACTCCATTGTGTGAAAGTATCACATTTTCTTTAGCCATTCATATATGGGAGGACACTTGGGGTATAGCCAACTCTTAGCTATTATAAATAGTGCTGCATTAAATATGGGTGTGTAGATATGTGCCTGTCTTTGCCACAGCTTTTGTTTTTCGGTGTAATTATCAAGAAATATGATTTTATCACTGTAATTTTACAAAGTTAAGGTTTTTGGCAGTATTCTGTGCTGAGTTCACTTTGTTTATGGCTATTCCTGTCATTTTCTTTGTTGCTGTTTTGGTGCTTATTTTGTGTTTTTTCTTCTTTTTAGTTTGATGAAAAGGCTTACTGATTTTCTTGGAGGTTACCCTGTAAGTTTCTATTTTATCTCCAAATCTAAACTAGTTCACTTTATTTTTAACTTTTTCTCCACTTAGTTCTTTAACAATGCTGCTTATTCCCTCTAGATTATCCTCATTTGTATAGTGATATCACTGGTTTTCTAATTTTTATTGTCACATGTTTAACGTACTTGTTTTATGTCTGAGTCTGAACCCTTTTTGAATGATGATGTCATTTATGTTGGTTTTCATTTTTTACCAAAAGTCACCATAATGTTTGTCGTTGTTGTTAACTCTCAGTGAAAAGAAATCCAGTTAGACTTTCTTGCAGAACTGGACTGGTTTTTACTTCTCTGGAAATATCTTAATTCATCATCTTATTTGATGGATAATTTTTCTGAGTACAGGATTCTTGCATTTTTTCCCTCAGAGTTTTATGTATGCCATCCCATTGCCTTCTTTCCTACTTGGTTTCTACTAAGAAATCAGAACTTAGTCTTATTGGTTCCCTATTGTAGATGATTCTTTTTTGCTTTTTTTTCTGAATTGCTTTCCATGTTCTCTGTCTTTAGTTAAAAAAAAATTATTCTAACTCTTGGTGGTTTTCTTTGAGGGTGTATCCTGTTTGGAGTTTATTTAGCTTTCTGTGTACATATTTTCTCATTTTTCATAATATTTGAGAAAATTTAAAGCTACAAATTATAAATCATTTCTTCTGCATATTTTATCCATTATGTATTCTAGGATTCCAAACACATGGAAAATATCCCTTTTGAAGTTGTTCTGCATAATTTTTGGGCTTTCTTCATTTACCTTTTTTATTCTGATTGTTTCTCTGACATATTAATATTGGGAACTTTGTCCTCCAACTCACTGTTTTGTGTTCATTTCTTCCATTATGTAAGCTCTTTTGTCCTGCCCTTGCATTATCTATTTCTGAAGTTTTAGTCTTAATATTCCAAGTTGCATGTTGCTATTTTTATATTGCTTCTAATGTCCCACTTATGTTTTCGATTTGGTCTTGGATAGTTTTTAAAACAATTGTCTGTTTTCTGTATTTTTCTTGATCCATAGAATAGACTTGAATAACAATCTTTTGAATTCTTTGTAAAGAAACTTCATTAGTCATTCTACCTCAGGAGGATTTTCCTAATCTGTATTTTAGTCACCTTTTTGGTTCCATTTTATCTTGACCTTTTTAAAACAAAAGAAATTTACTTGCTCTTCTATTTGTTTTTAACTGGTTTGTTGTTATCCTGAACTTTCTAGTTTTGTTGTCTTTGTGGGTAGAGACAAGATGTCTGGCCTGGAAGTGAGGAATGCTCAATCTGTGACAAAGTTTTATGGACCTCAAAGAGGCTTGGAATAGTCTGCTGACTGGGGATCCTGCCTTTCAGTCCTGGAAGTGAGTGTTACCAGATACCCAGTCAGATACAGCTAGTGTGAAGAAATAATCACTACAAACTTGAAGTCTTCAAGGTTGGTGTATTCAATGAAGGATGTTTATTATTAAAGTGGTATCTCCAATAAACCAGGAGGTGACTGCAGGCCAAGTACAATATAGTCCAATCTCTTCTGGAGGGAGATTGTTATTTAAAGCTGTGTAGGGTTCCAAGGCCAAATACTAAATAGCACAGACCTGGCACTTGGAGAAACAAAGAAAAACCAGTAAATACAACCAGCCTCTCACCTTTCTAGTCAGCTAGCTGCTGCCAACCTGGGTTCTTTTAGCAAATAAACAGCTGTTTGAAATGGCTGTGCTATGCCATGTAAGGTACCATAATCCACCTGTCTTCTGATTCTATATTTTTATTGAGTTCTTAATTTATAAGCATGGTCTTGACATTTTTATTCATTTGCTGATATCTTTGCTGCAAAGGAACTGAACTGGTGTTTATTTGCTCCACTATCTTACCCTCAACTCCCTGGTACACAAAACTTAGTAGACTGATAGATTCTTTCAGGCACTTGAAAATTATTTATTTAAAAGGCATATATTCAGGATATTCTTGTAGAAGAATACGGTAAATACTATAATTTAAATTCACTTGAAAAAAATCTATAAGTAATTATTATGTATTATTATTGTTTTAGCATATTAAAAAATCTTAAAAGGTGGCATGTTCTTAATTTATGCTCTGACTTCAAAGACAGAAAACACAACTGTATACATTGCTCACTGTATGTTAATAATATATATGAAAAAGACATTAGCAAGCTACCATCTGCTGTAGCACTTAACGCATTGCTAGAAGCAGGCATTCTGATGATCTGTAACCATATGTCTAGTGGTTTTCCATCTGCACAACTCAAGAGATTAAATCTATTAATAGGTTGTAGGATCCTTAAAACCAGGGGTTATGTCCTTTCATATACTTTATATAATGATCTACTATGTCTACTATGACACTGTCTACTTGTCCACTTTGCATCTTACTTAATTCATCACACTTGTGGAAGAGGACGCTACAAAGACAGAAAAATTATATATTTGTAACACTTAAAAAATAATAAGGACATTCCATCCTTTGTCCTAAAACTCATAGAATTAATCAGCACATAGGGAGCTCTGTTGCCCTCATGGCAAGAAGCTGCTCTGTGATCCCAATGGTATGCAGTTCAAATCAACCAGCTTCTTCTCAGGAGAAAGATGAGTACTCTTCTCCCATGAAATTAACTGCCTCTGAAAGCCTGCTGGACGGTCAGCTATGGGTCAGTTCCAACTCAACAGTACACAACAAAAACAACAAACAACACATACAATCTCTATAGTTTTGGGTATTTGCCACTTCTTCTTTGAACTGCTTGTTGTGTGTTATTGAGTAGGAACAGACCTATAGCTGGCCTTCCAGTGGGTTTTTACAGGTAGTCAATCTAAAGGGAGGAGACTGCCCATTAATCTTCCTCTGAGCAGTTGATGGATCAGAACTGAGTGCCTAGTGGTAATAAATGCAGTTTTAACCCACCAGCTGTTCCATGGGAGAAAGATGAACACTCAACTCCTGTGCAGTTTACTGCCTCTGAAAACCCACTGGAGGGTCAGCTCTGGGTTAATTCTGACTTGGTGGTCCACCACCACCACCACCACCACCACCGCAACAACATTTGGATTGGCTTGGCTCTAATTTACTTAAACAGAACGAACACTAAAATGATGGTTCAAAGAGTTTATACAAGTTCACTTTATTATTAACTGCCATTTGGGAAGCTGTTTTATTTGCCTTCCTGTGACTTATTTTCTTTACTTGCATGTAAGTTTACTGTTATTTGTTTAGCTGAGTGGCTATGGAGATAACAAGGCTAACAACATATATTTAGAAAAGTAGAAAAGGTATATAGGAATGAAGGATCATAACATATTTTTAAGACTCAATTCTTAAAAACAAAGATAATCTCCCCTCCAAACAAAAACAAAACATCACTTTTACAATCTTGTAAAAAACTGATCTTAAAGACAGACTTTTCCCCACCAGGTTCAGTTAAAATGAGTATCTGTCTAACCATTGTCTTCTTAAAGAAAGACTTCACTGTAGTTATAGAGAATGATGACTGTTACAGAAATAAAAATTAACCCAATGAAGGATAATGTAATGCTAAGAATGCTTATGATAAAAGTCTCCATGAAAGGTCTCAGACTGCAGAATCAGACTCTAACAAACTGTTGTTGTTGTTGTTAAGTGCCATCAAATCTTTGATGACTCATAGCGACCCTCTGAACAAAAGACCTGAACAATTATATAACTTTCATTCTTTCTCCAAGTTCATAGAGTTTTCAGAGGCAAGCTATTATGGAAATGGATGCCACTCCTGCTTCCAAGCTTGTTTTAATTGAAGAGCTCCACTAAACATGGTCCACGATGGGTAACCAGTATCACATTTGACACATCAATGTCACAGTGTTTAGCATCACAGCAACCACATACAACAAATGGGCAGACCAGTGTTATACCACTTAGAAGAATGTTTGACCAAAACAATTAAAACAAGGCTTGAACTCAGGGAAATATTAAAGAAACAGTCATTATCTTAGACTTTAAGTTCTTATTTTTCTAGTTATTCTTTCTGCTGGATTAGAGCACTTTTTGGGACCCAACAATATTGTGCTGCCTTTATCTGATGAGGTCTCAGTTTGGACTAGATGCACTGGGCTTGATTAGGGTACTATGCTGCTACTGCTACTGAGGATGATGAATAGCAGGGATTATGAAGTTAAAGGTAAAAACTAGTTTTGATATATACTAAGGAGGGCTTCGTATTCATTATTTCTAAGCTTTAAAACAACAATAAACTTCATATTAATATTCCAATTTTACAATGGGAACAAAAACTCAGAGAAAATAAATATCTTGGCATAAATTTCATAGCTATTAAGTATAGATTAGGATTAAAATCTGGAACTTCCTGATTCAAAGCTCATATATAAATTTATGGCTATCTACCATGTTATCTATACATCTGTATGAAGAGAAATTGCAAGGAAAATCTGAAAGAACTTCCAAAGACAATAAATTCCACTAATGTGTATAATTACCCATTGTTGAGACAGCTATGAATGTAGGGATGCTGGGGCTGTCGTGGCTAAAGCTGGTGACACTACAGTTGTAGGCTGTGGCAGGAAGAAGACTGGAGATGGTCACAACATGGGAATAAACAGAAATTGGTTCCTAGGGAGACAGAAAATGGGAGAAATCTCATGTTAATTAATTTTTGAGGTTTTATGGATGTAATTTTTAAAGTTAGATATCCAGTATATGAACAAACCATTGTCAGAAGTTCCCCTCCCCTATATAGATTTTTTTTTTTAGCACTAGTTGCCAAGTGGCAAGATGGTGTGCTGCAATCCTGAAGGCACACATTTCTAATCCACCAGCTGCTAGGCAGAGAAGGATAGACAATCTCCTCCCACACAATTAACTGCCTCTGAAAACGCACCAGAGGGTCAGTTATGGGTTGGTTCTGACTCCGGTGGTACACAACAACAATATATGTATTTTTTAGATGTACAAATATCTATATACTAAATCTTGTCATGTATATATACACGACTTGATGGCAATCAAATTGTGTATGAACAATTACATTAATTAAAAAGAATTATTAATAACTGAAAAAAATTACATAATTTAAAAAATTCAGACCATCGTTAAATATACATATATACTTTATAGATACATATCTATTTAGTACACATATGTTTATGCATACACGCTTCTAAATAATTGCTACAAAAGAATTTAGCATATATATCTGCATATATATACATACTTTGATATATTTTAAACAATCAAATTGCTGGGACAAAAAGTTATAAAGTTTAATTTTAGAAGTTATTATTGTCTACTTACCTTCCATACACATTTAGAAGTTGTCTGTTGACCATCAGCATGTGACAGTGCCTTTTTGCCTACAGTTTTCCAACATGGTCTATTTACCAACTCTGAATTTTGTGTCAAGTTAACCATGAAAACTGTATTTTACTGTAGTTTTGTTTTTCATGTATTTCATCATGAATGAAGTTGATTATACCTTTATATATTTAAGAATCTTTCATTCTTATTCTTTTTTGAAATATTTGTTTGGAGTCACTAGTTTTGTGTATTTTTAATTGAGATTTTAATGAAAGTTTATAGAGAACTTGGATTTCCATTCATTCATTGTTGCACATTTTCCTCTCTGCCCCCCCCACCCCCAATTGCTTTTCTCTTTGGAAAAAAAGAAAAAATTTTTTCATTGTTGTACAAGCCCCTACCCCAGTCCACTTTACTATGCAGCTCTTATTCTGGACTATTGTCATGCAAATAATACCTAATCATATATTCCTTTTAAGCAGTTCTTTGCCTCATCTGTTTCAATGCAATGTGGCATTATGCAGAGTGAAATAACTCAGTCACAAAAGAACAAATACTACATAATGCCATTGTTATAAAACAAGACTGACGTTGGGGTTGGGGGGAACTAAGAAGAGGGGATAAATAGTGCACACTGCATTGAAACAGATGAAGGAAAGTTTTTTTTTATTTGTAGAAATTCTTTAGATATTAAAGACTGGCATTTAAGCCTATTTTGTCTTGAAATAGTATTCAGAAAAGATTTGGCAACTTTGTTATTTCAGAAACAATATTAATAATATTAATCTGCTCTTAAGTGGAATAAGTTGCTTATTTGGTGCCTCAATGCTCCAGCTGATGATAAATTCTACTGTAGAACAACAAAGGATAAGCCAGCGTAATACGGGTTTTCCAAACAAAGATCCGAAAGATCTCTACATTGAAGATGAAAGCTATCTGCACTTATTTCCCACAATCATGTTCTTTTCTAGGATATAAAAAAAATGATTCTAAGGACAGAAGGACTTTTGCTAACATGATTCATTGGAAGTCAATAGCAATCTACACATAATTTCCTTAAAGTAAGACATTAATGTAGTTATAGGTAAGAATGGCTATTAATCAGCAAACAATTATTTTCAAATAGAATTATTAGAGTTGAAAAAAAGGTTCAGCTGCTCAATACAAATAAAAAAGACATAAGTTTGTAGAAGAGAATGCCAAAAGGCAAAAAGAATCAAAGCAAATTCCCTTAATATCCAATGTGAAAAGATTTGTCCTGCCAGCAATCCTTTTATCCTGAATCTCATGGACTTCATTATTTAAAAAGCCTCAATTATTCATGTTCAGAGTATTAATCTATACATTTGTTTTATGTGAAGTCTCTCATAAACCTGCCCTTTCACTCTGAACCCTGGCTGTAAAACATCTTTTCAATATCTTTTCTAACCTTAGAACTACTATTTCATTTTCCTTTGTCTTCGTTTTGACCTCAGGAAAGAACCCAGTCCTTATCACGGCTGCTATTTGTGATCCTAAAGCATTAATAATCACCTCTCTCAGCCTTCATTTTCCGAATAAGATGTTCTCCTTACTATCTGGATATGACTCTTTTTTTGAATTATCTTATTAATGTGAATCTCTTGTAGGGTACTTACATTTAACTCTAGCTATTTCTAGAAATACACCATACCCTCAATGATATAAAAACTGTGTAGTCAACTATCATTTCAATTCTATATAATGCTTTTTGTAAAACTAACAACCAGCTAATACTTGTTAAATTATGTTTTATATGATAGTGTCTTTACTTCTTTGGTCAATTTAATGGAAAGTAGGGGAGAAATGAATTTTTTAAACTTTTCTAGTATGATCTGAAATGAGTGATTGTTGTGGACAAAAGATAAAGAAACATAAAGCTTTATGTCTTGTTCGATTCTCATAGTATCTTTTTTAAGTCTGTTCTTAGCAAACAGTTAAATTCTATCATGGTAATAAAAAGCAGCACAAGGAAAATTTTTGTTTTCTGTAGTGTAAAAAGTAGAAGATTTTCATTTAGCTTAGACAATCAGCCTTAATCAAAATTGACTCAAAGAAGGAAAGTAATAGATAAAAAGTACCTGTAGTTTGGTTTTCTGACTGGAGCCAACTTGTTGACAGACAACTTGGAAAAAGTCAGCTATGCCCTCTTCCACCCACAGCAAAGTCACTGAAGTCTGGGTTTTATTTACTGCAAACAGTGATTTTGGAGGAGCTGGTTCTGAGAAAAGAAAAAAAAATTAAATATATTCTTTCTTTCACTATCTGTCGAATAAAACAAAAGCACTATTAGACCTTTCATATACTTATGAGATAATGATCTTCACAAAGACAGTCCTCTAAATTGGAAGACAGAATGCTTTCTTTTTCTCCTCCTTTCCCATTTTATACTTCTCTTTTAAGACTTCCGTTTCCAACTTCATCTTTGTTATAGACATAATCTATTAATAGTTTTTATGCCATATACACTGGCTTTGGGTTTGCCCTGCTAATTAATGCAAGAAATTTCTGCAACAAAAATCTGCACTTAAAAGGCAGAGAAAAATGAAAGGGCAGTGTTCTTTTTCAGTGGAAATTATCAATTTGGTATTTAGCCAATTACTTCTCTTCTCTTGAAATGATTTAAAATTATCCAGGGGAATGACTTAATGAAAATTTACTAAAACCATGAGGGATAAAGCTAAATACATGTTTTCTTTATCAAGGAAAGGATTTGTCAAGGGAGACTGAATGATTAATAAAATGTTAGAATACTTTATCTCATTCTTTTAGCCTTTGATCTTAATCAATAAATTAATCCATTAGTTGAGTAAGCTATGATGTTGTGCCCTTTCATGCTAATTTCCTGTAACTGAGTCACTGAATTTTTCTGGACTGAGCCCAAGCTCCTGCCTGTTTCCTACTTCTAGCAAGTGGTCTATTATCTTCTTTTTCGTTCCTGAATCTTTCCCAGTTTTCTCTGGGTTCTTGTCTTCCTTTGCATGTTATCTTTTCCTTTATTTTTCCTAGCATACAAAATGCTATTCTGGAACACAAATTCTTAAACAGGGTCCTTCTTAGCTGCTATTAGATCTCCTCCTTATTGCTAGTTAGGACATAACATTTCTTGCTATTTTTACTTAACAATACATTTTGACTATTGGGTGTCCCTGTCAGATGACTATCTGTCTCTGTAGATCTTTTACTGCTTTTTCCTCAGATTTTTAAAAGTTATCTGCCTTACCCTTTAAAAGGGAGCTCTGGTGGTTTAATGGTAAGGTGTTTCACTGCTAACCTGAAGACAAGCAATTCGAATCCACCAGCTGCTCTAGGGAAGAAACATGGGCAATCCCCTCCCATGCAATTGAATGCCTCTGAAAATCTGCTGGAAGGTCAGCTACGAATCAGTCTGCGCAGTAGGACATAGTAATAACCTTTTCCATGGAGTTCTGGTGTCATAGTCAGTAGATGGTTGTGCAGCAAAGGCCACACCTCCCTGGCAGTCTGAATTTAATGGCTGCTTTTCAGGAATAAACTGGACAAAATAGTATGAAATCTTGGAAACTTACTAAGGAGTCAGTTATGAGTTGGATCTGACTTGATGAAAACAAATTAGTAATGAGTGACCCTTTTAAGTCTTGTCTCCAGCTCATAGCTTTTAGCAGTGACAAAATTTCTATAGGTCCATTTCCTTCCTTTGTCATGAATAGGTCTTTGTGTGGGAAAGTCTAGACTTTCTTAAAAGAATATCAACATCATGAGCCTGTTCAGAACAAATAATTATGTCAAGATCAGTTTTGATATGCCTTATCACAGGTAACATAAACTTAATGTCCGACTGAAAAGAAATGTTTTTCTTTTTAGAAGCAATTTGACAAGGTTAGTTAGAAAAGTAAAGGGAGGGAAGAGATGACTTAGTCCCAGCAAGCATCATTTACAGTAGATGTCAGAACTTCCTCTTTCATCTGAAATGGATTGACCACTCCTTTATACTTGTTTTATCTCACTTCCCCTCTGAAGATTACTGTTGCAACACAGAGGTCAGCTTCCACTTTCCACACCCTTTATAACCGTCACTGCTATTAGGATTATGAGGCAGAAAACTGATTCCAACTCCTGTTTAGAATGCTTAGCTTGTTAGAAAAATCATGAGGTTGTACCAGAGAAAGATGATCTGTTTGCTGAGCCTGGGAAGCTTTTTCTCATTTCAAAGTACAAAATTGGGTCTCTTGAACTATGAATTCCAAAAATTTCCCTTTTATTAGTTTAACTGGCCAATACAAACATTGCCCAAATTATAGTTCCTGGATATTTTTACACCTGTATTTTCAGTTATTTGTTACCTGTGCCTACTCAAATATCTCTGATGACATCATGATAAGGAATTGTGCTGCAATCTGGAAGGCACACAGTTCTAATCCACCAACTACTTTGTGGAAGAAGGATGAGCAGTCTCCTCCCATGTGATTTACTGCCTCTGAAAACCTGTGGGAGGGTCAGCTATAGGTCGATTCTGACTCAATGATACTCAAGAACAACAACTCAAATACCTCACCATGACCTCAGTGCATGGCCAAAATTCAACTGACTTCCCCCCTCCCCCAAATCAATACTACCCACTGTTACTGGCTTTTTTGTAGGCATGCTTTCAAGGAGCTCTGAAGGTATAGTGTGTTGCATTTCTAACCAGAAGACTATGTGTCTCTGGCAGTTCAAATTCACTACCTGCTCCACTTGCAGAAAGATGGATAATCTCTCATTAAGCTGTACTGTCTTAGAAACAGTGGTGGGCCCCCATGAGTTGGAACTCTCTAAAGCCTTACCTGATACGGCTCTCCATGATTTATCCTTTTTTGATCTTTTATTGTTCTTGTTGTCAAGTGTGAGGGAGTCTAGTCTAACTGACAGGGACCCTACAACAACAGATCTGAACCTTTTCCTATCCTGTGCCGCCTCCTCACCACTGATGCACTTGAGCCCACTGCTACAGTCACTGTGTCAAGCAATCTTGTAGAGGGTTCCTCTCTTTCACCTACCTTTTACCTATTTAGGGAATAGCCTTTCCTAGCAATCTTCTTAAGATATGTGAGACAGAACTTTGCCTTGTCTCCAATGAACACTCTTTTGCTACTCTGGCTCTTTTGCCAGAAAAAAAGTTTTTTCTTTTGGCAGTTCATTCAATACTCTTCTCCAACACCACAACACAAGGTATTAATTCTTCTGTCATACTTCTTCATTGTCCAGCTCTCAGAGGCATAGCAACTGAATGATTGAAAAGACTGATCTGAATCAGGTGCACCCTACTCTTTAAACTGACATCACCGCTCTGGTACCATGGCCTCCAAATTTCACTTGTGCCACCAAATTTTTAGTGACCTGTAAACCAAAACCCACCTTGTACTTCTGGCAGTTCTCTGTCAGTGTATTGTTCTAGCCATTTTTGAATGATGTTCAGAAATATTTTGCTTGCATATTAATGATATTGTTTGATAATTTCCACATTCTGTTTGATCACCTTTTTTTGGAATGAGAATAAACAATGATCTCTTTCAGTCATTTGGTCAGGCAGCTATCCTTTGAATTTCCTTACCTAACCTGGTGAGCATGTTCAGGAATATGTCTGTTAGTTATCCTTATCTATCCCTGTTAAATCTATGAGTGTAAAGATTCTACCAGAATCTTGTTGAGTAAGAGCCTTATGTTATAAATTATTTTGCCTTCCTCTTGAACTTGTCACTTGTTCTTGTTAGGTTCTGTTAAGTTTGGTTCATAGAGATGCTCAGGTGACAAAGTAGGTCTGTTTCTCACAGAGCTGCTGGATGGGCAGGAACCATTAACTTTTCATTTGGCAATCAAGAGCTTAGCTGTTGTGCCATCAAAATTTTAGTCACCTGTAAACCAAAACCCAAACAAAATCTACTGCTGTCCAGTCTGTTCTGACTCATGGCCATCTGCCTTCAAGTTTCTGAGTCTGTAAATCTTTACAGAAAGAGATTACCCTTCTCTTTTTGTGGAGTGTGCTGGTACCTCTGTCTTCTTGTTGGTAACCCAACACATAATGAACTATATCACCAGGACTCCTATTAGTCATCTCTACGTATCCAAAGTTGATCTATTGGATGATTTAAAACACAAGTCAGGATTAAAGAAGCAGGAAATCTGGAATTGGACCAGACATAGAGCATTGAATTTTGATGCTCTGTGCCTTCTTATGATGATAATACTGGTAAAATCATTATCTTTCTGTTTTGGAATAAAGTTTCTCTCTCATTGCTGTAGAGTCAGAGCTAAATCATAGCTGACGTCCCACTAGCTTGCTAAAGCTGTAAATTGGAGAAGATTTTCCGTGTTTCTCCCTGAGAGATGCTGCTGTATTTGAAACACCATGTGTGAGGCATTTCTGTGAGTAATGCAGTTCTCTGTGGACTATGCCACCAGAGCTCCCATCATGAATTAACAATGGTCCAAGGCATATAGCATGGGTACTTAAAGATCTTGTTGAAAAATGTGGGTCTTAGTAATAAGAAGAATTCTCAGGAAAATGTCGAATGATTCTGAGACTTCAGCTAGCTATGTGACAGATTTTTCTTCATAGGTCATATAAGGAGAAATAGATTATTCCAAACTTACTTTGGATCAATTAGGTTAAATATGAGTCGTGGTTAACTCTATGTCAGCATGACTAGGCTATATTGCCGAAAACTCAAACTCACTGTCATTAAGTCAGTTCCAACTCATAGCAGCCCTTCATTGGGCTTCCAAGGCTGTAAATTAAAAAAAAGATTGCACATCTTTCTCCAGCACAGCAACCAATGTATTAAAACCAAAGGAGTACTGACCACAACCTCCTACAGACTACACCAAATCAAACACTAAGTATTGCTATGAAGGTATTTTGTAGGTATGGTTAATATCTACAATCAGATAAGTAAAGACAATTACCCTTGATAACATGGATGAACCTCATTCAATCAGCTGAAAATGGTTTAGGAGAAAATGATATCAAGATTTCTTACAGAAGCAGTTCTGCCTTAAGATTGCAACATCAGTTTTTATCTGTGTTTCTAGCTTGCTGACTAGCCTATAAGCACCATGACAGATGGAGAAGAGATGGAGATTGTTAATAATTTCAGCTTGCTTGGTTCCACAATCAATGCATTTGGTGTCAGCAGTTAGGAAATCAAAAGGTGAATTGCACTGGGAAAAATCTGCTGTCAGGGACCTTTCCAGAATGCTAAAAAG